TTTCAAAATAAGATCAGCAGTAAGTTGGTCTACATGTGAACCTTTGTTAATTTATCACATCTTGTTGCAGCTCTCCCTAAATGTACACGTATGCAATTAATTGCCATGACAATGGGTGTACCAACACCAACCTGTGAATCTGATGGTAGATTTACTCCACTTCAGTGCACCCGTACAACTTGTTCATGCGTAGACACCGAGGGAATGACGCTAGACATCACAGAAGTCAGACCAGGGTTCACTAAAATTATCAATCGCACATACTGTGAATCATTCAGAAATGGTAAGTTGTAATCACATATATCTATCATTCACTGTCAAAATGTATTTCACAAATCAGATGAAGAAGTGAAATTTTGTAGCGGTCGAAATTCCCACTCATGCACTGCTCTGTGGGAGGGAGCTACAGAATTGTACAATATGGGGTGAATTTATTTGCTAGCAAAAATTCATAGTTTTATAGGATTTAAAGTGGTATGTCATCTCTCGCAACAAAGTATATGAACAATTAAAATCAATGTAATTTATGTTCAAATCTCAGAAACTGAGAAACATGGGCATACAAATATTTTTGTCCACATTTTGGTAAATTTTCGACTAAATAATTAAAAAAAAAAATATTAGGTGAAAAGTGATATAAGTATGAAAGTACCAGGATGTGTGACCTTTTAGGGGTCATGCACATGTCCTATTGGAAATGTCATCCTTGTGTTATTGGGGAGTAAAGGTTTATAAATCCATATAGTTTAAGTGATTTGATGTTTTTATTAATTTACAGTGACCATCACACCAGTCAACTCAACACTTTCAAAGAACTGGGGTCCCAGTGAGTATAGATATGTGATATTCATCCCAAATTCCCATTTTCTATCGCAGTCCCTAATTGGTCTGATTGAATACTGCCAGCAGGCCACTGCAGTGAAATGAGGAATCATTCATCATTTATAGTTTACTCTGTCAAGTTAATGAAAGAAAGTTCATTGATCTTCAATGCTGATCACAATACTAGTATCTAGTATCACATCTCATTGTTCATTGTCTGTACTGAATCAGATGTTTCTATAGCTGCATTGACATTTGTTATTTCCCCCAAGTGACCATTTTGTGAAACTTTGAACTTTAACGAAGCCTGAGTTTTGCATCTTTGTTAATCACTACAGTTACTTTTTTAGCTCTCCTGTCGACTTTGTTGAGCGAAGCTTATCATATGAGTCATTGTCATCAGTCGGCATCGGTCATCCGTGTCAACTTTTCACTTTTTCAACTTCTTCTTGAAAACTACAATTCTTATTGCTTTGATACTTGATGTATATGTACCTTGGGCAAACCCCTCTTAGATTGTTCATTTCGTGATGATATCTTTAATTCTCTAATTTTGATGAACATTTTTGATAAAAAGTGATATTTTCAACTTCTTGTTAAAAAACTGCAAGCCCAATTGCTTTGATATTACATAATATATAGGTACTACATGTGGACCTCTCTCAGATTTGTTCATTTCGTGATGATATCTTTAATTCTCTAATTTTGGTTAATATTTTTGTAATTTTTGGTAAAAAGTGATATTTTCGAATTCTTGTTGAAAACAGCAAGTACGATTGCTTTGACGTTACACATATTGTTCATTTTCTAATGATATCTGCAGTTCTTAATTGAAATGTGCATGCTAACTGCAGAGCTATCTCAGCTGAGAGGCTGCTTGTTTATTGTCTGTACTGAATCAGATGTTTCTATAGCTGCATTGACATTTGTTATTTCCCCAAGTGACCATTTTGTGAAACTTTGAACTTTAACGAAGCCTGAGTTTTAGCGTCTTTGTTAATCACTATAATTAGTTTTTTGAAAGATGTTATACAATGAATTGTTGTATATTTGGCACCTGCAATTAAGCAACTTTGTAACTTGTGTTATTTACATTTGTATATACGTTTTTTTTACAGAATCCCCTTGTTTCCAACACATTGAACTAGCTAACAAGCATGGACTGAGTACATTGAATTGTTCTATATACAATGGCACATTCATTCCACGACAAGTCAGACGAACAAATATCACAATGTGTGTGGATGTAAATGGAGTTACCATTCCAGGTTCAGTGTTCAAAGCATGCCGTCAAATGCGTCCAAGCAATTACTGTGATGTATACAGACACGGTATGTACTCTGTACTTCATACATTTGGTATTCTGTGTTAGATACGGTACATTGTAATTATCTTGAAGTGAAGTGTATACTGTTCTTTTTCTGATGAACAATTGAAAGAATTTCAGACTAATTATTTGAGTTCCTGGATTAGTTGACATTACAGTAACTGTTGTATATGTATACCGTAAAATCTGTATTAGAAGCTGCATTCCTAATAGAAGTCGCACCCATTCTTTTTGAATAATTGAGAACCAAAAATTCATCATTTCGCATATGTGTAGGTGCTCTTATAGAAGCCACATCCCCTCTGTTGCATCGTACCATTTTAATAGAAGCTGTGGTTTCTAATACAGATTTTACAGTATATGCCAGTTAATCATTAATTATGTACATATCTAATTGTATGTTCATATTTATTTGACGGTTTCTAATTAATTATATGCATGTTTAACAGTTAATCATCTTCTAATCTAATTATGTCACAGTTAGTCACTAATTATATGCATGTCTAATTTTGTTTGACAGTTAATCACTAATTATGTGCATAAATTTTTGTTGGAAGTTAATCACTATTAAATTATTATATCTAAATTTTATTCGACAAAGCACACAATGGGTGTTAGTGTGTCTGTCTGTATGTATGTACATATGTGTGTGTGTCTGCCTCACCGGTCTGTCTGTTCCACTGATACATGTATCTAAAGAACTACTTTAATTGGATTTGATGAAACTTAATGTGCAGATTTGATTAGTTTGTGATTGACTGACTTTTCATATTAATTTGCTTGATGATTTCATGACTGTTTTATGATGTAACTTAGATGCTGCGTAGATGCTCTGGGACAATGCACAGATCTGATTAGTTTTAGGTAAAAGTCCATGCATATTAATCACCAAATTTGCATAATTATTAGTAAATTTTTGGCTTTTCCACTGATATATCAAGTACTAATCATCACATTACAAAGGAAACTTGGTACAGAGATACTCTAGGACAATCTACAGACCTAATTTGTTTTGAATAAAAATGTGTGCATATTAATCATCTTATTTCCATAAAGATTGGTACATTTTTGGCTCTTCCATGGATATCTTATTCAAATACTAATCATCACATTTCAATGCAAACTGGTACATGGTATGCTCTATGACAATGGGCAGACCTGTTATCTTTGGTTTGTGCATATTAATTACCTAATTTACATAATTAGTCATGTTGCTTAGACTTTTCCATCAATATCTTAAGTTCTAATCACATTTCAATGAAACTTGGTACATTGATGATCTGTGACATTGCGCAGACCTTATTTGTTTCACATTAAAAATCTGTGTACTTAAATTGTGATTTAATTGTTTTTTGGGGTTTACATACATTCATAATATTTTACCCAATTTGTATAAAAATTTATTTTCTTGGCTTTCCATAAATATTTTAAGAATTAATCATCAAATTATAATGAAATTTAATAGACATGTGCCCTGGAACAATACACAGACCTAATTAGTTTTGGGTTGAAATCTATGCATAATAAATGACTCATTTGCATAATGTGCATCCCCCTCAATAGTTATTAAATTTAATTTTTTTGGTCTATAGATGCTCTTAAGCATCTCAATTACTGTAGAATACTTTATTTTCGTTTGGAATTTATTTTCGCTATTTTCGCTGACGGGATGATTCCGTGAAAATAAAATCCAGCGAATATACTTTTTTTCCTATATTCCACACTAAGCGCATCAAAAATCAGTGAAAATAAATTCCAAGCAAAACGCCCAAAAAGCCTTTTCAGCGAAAATTTATTCCAGCGAAAATAAAGTATTCTACAGTATTGCATTTAAATAAGATAATAATATAAGTGCTTGGGCACAATGCTAAAGACCTGATTAGTTTTAGATTGAAATTAGAGCGTACCGGTACTAATTGCCTAATTTGCATTTTGTGCATAATTATCACGTTGCATTGAAATTTGGTTCATAGATACTCTGGGGTCATCCATAGACATGATTAATTTAATGTTGAAAAACATGCATATTGATTATCTAATTATTATTAGCCAATTTCTGATATCTCAAAAATTCAGATTTAAATTGAACTTGTGGTGGAGGTGCTCTGGAATAAATTAGACTGAAAACCACAGATGTAAAATCATTTTTTTTTCTGTAGATATTATAAATTTTCACATTGTGCATCTCAAATAGCAGACAAATATTAGTTGCAAAGCTTTTTGTTAGAAAAGCTAATTTTAAATTTTGAATAAATTTTTAATATGTCATCAATACTCAGCACACAGGCACACAGGAGTTCTTTCTAAGCTTTTTTTGATTGTTGATTTATAATAGACTGACAGAAGCGCCTTTTACAATGACAAATCTAGACAATCATTCAATGTGTATACTAATTTTATTTTACAGTTAATCTAACAGAGGTCATGATACCGATTCCAAACCCAGTTATTCGTCCTTTCACTACCGTGACACCATACGGACCACAGACTCTTTATGTTGTACCAGAAAGCCCCTTGATGGATAGCCTGCTACCACTCATCAACACAACTACTCCAGTACTTGATACTATAACTTACAGTGAGTACTGTTTTACAATGCGTTATACTAATATTTGCTAACATGACAACAACATTTTAATGATTTGTGTGTTATACTCTCCATATACTAATTACCGGTAGTGTGTTTTGAAAAACAGAAACTGCATTAATTTTTACTCTTACCTTTACTTTTATTACTTTCAGCCAAAAATGAATTTGTAATTTCATTATGGTGTGATAAAACTTTATTTTTTTTAATGTAAATGTAAAAAAACAAAACAGTGAATTAAATATTCAGTGTGGTGAGATAAAAAATTGCGATGAAACTATGCGATTATGAACATGGTAAATGCACAATACAAACGTGATAAATGTGTTGATTGGGCAAAGCCTATTTGCAATGTCAGACTGGACGAAAAGCGATTATTGTGTAGATTGATGTTGTTTCAATCGACCAGTCATAATTGGTTACACTGTAGTGTCAAATCTTTTTATTTTCGCCAACCAGCATGCGAATATGTTACAGAAAATGTTGCTTTGTTCAACGACGATGTTGCTGATAAAATACGTTGTTTTATCAACAGTCTCACATAAATGAATATTTAATAACCGAAGCTGTGAACAACGCCATTGTTTTATCTTGGGGTGCGAACAAACTTCTTGCTAACCAGTCCCGGCACATGTGCACGTGGCGCACACACACGAAACGTAAACATGTACATATAAGACCTTCTAGACAATTGTATTGATTAGAAATGATGATAGTGTGAACAGTTTATCACATGACAGAATGAAAGAGATTGAAAGAAAATAAGAACTCTCTCTCTCTCTCTCTCTCTCTCTCTCTCTCTCTCCTCTTCACCCAGCTCAAACTATGTGTAATCGTATGTCCCGAATGCTGATTGCCTTTGGAATAGATCATCTATTCTGTCATCCTGAGAATGGGACATTTAGCCCCATGCAGTGTAAAGAAGATATTTGTACATGTGTGGACACACAGGGGATGATTATACCAGGCATGCTTAAACTAAGACATCAATTAAACTGTGAAAAATACAGGAATGGTAAGTATCGGTATGTTCATGTATATCAGACAAAATACTGTAAAATGACTAATTTTCACTGGGTTTAAATTTCGCTGGTTTACCATTTCAGGCATATTCAGTGGGTTTTAAATTCACTGTAAGTTTTATCATTTAGATAATGTGTTCTATGCTAAATTTTACATATTCACTGGGTTTTAATTTAGCGCATTTTCCAGTCAGCAAAATAAGCAAAATTAAAACCCAGTAAATAATTAACCCTTTCACAGTATGTTTGTGTGTTTTTCAAATTTAAATGATTTAAAAATATTGATTGTTCAATATATTTCAGATAAAATAAACCTACGTTTAGGTTTATATTGAAACAAAGTGTTTTTTTTATTTAGTATTTATGCTAAAATAACATTTATATCTTTTTAATCAATCTTGATTAAAAACATCACTGGTTCTGCTGAGCATCATGATAGACTATTGCTGGTTTATTGGGAACTATTAGTTCTCTCTCTAGCTTATCGGTAAAATATTTCTGTGTATAACAACAATTCACAATGCAGAATTGTTGACTTCAGTATATTAACAATTAAAATAAATATAAATTCATTAATTATTCACTGAGTTTTAATTTTACTATTTTCGCTGATAATTGAAATCTTATAAATTGAATCCATCTGAACGTAACATTATAATTTATTGTTTCCATGGAAATTTTATGAACTTAAAATTATTTTATTATTTATTTAATGAAGCTCAAAGGGTGAAAAATAGTGAAAAAATAAATGGTTTTACAGAAGTACATGTGTATGATAAGTCTACTCAGTTACATTGTATGGTCATATTTGTTGTGTGTATGACAGCAATCCAGTGTATTACAGTTCTTATAATTGTTTTTATGTAATATATTGTTTTCATGAACTTTTGCAGTGACTCTTACTTCACCTAATACTGTGCAAACCACAGTGGATGTGACCGAAACAGGAGCAATTATTACAACAACCAAACGTATGTATTTGTTTTTTTCATTATTGTAATCAATGACACTTTGTTTTAGCCGTTGAATGGTGATAAGATAGTGCATGGCTGGTTGAAAATTTAAAAGAACAACAACAAAAAACTATCTATTTTCATTGATTTTTACTTGTGTTTATTAACAAAATTAAAGTCAAGAACTTGCATAATAATATTTTTCTTGTTTTTGTAAAGTCTGAACTGAGGTATAATATTAGATTCAGAGTTTCATTGACATGTATTTTATCTAATTAGAACATGGGACTTTATGTTGTTTTAACCAATCAGAACTTGGATGATGTTGTTTTAACCAATCAGAACTTAGATGTATGTTGTTTTAACCAATCAGAACTTGGATGATGTTGTTTTAACCAATCAGAACTTGGATGATGTTGTTTTAACCAATCAGAACTTAGATGTATGTTGTTTTAACCAATCAGAACTTGGATGATGTTGTTTTAACCAATCAGAACTTGGATGATGTTGTTTTAACCAATCAGAACTTAGATGTATATTGTTTTAACCAATCAGAACTTGGATGATGTTGTTTTAACCAATCAGAACTTAGATGTATGTTGTTTTAACCAATCAGAACTTGGATGATGTTGTTTTAACCAATCAGAACTTGGATGTATGTTGTTTTAACCAATCAGAACTTAGATGTATGTTGTTTTAACCAATCAGAACTTAGATGTATGTTGTTTTAACCAATCAGAACTTAGATGTATGTTGTTTTAACCAATCAGAACTTGGATGATGTTGTTTTAACCAATCAGAACTTGGATGATGTTGTTTTAACCAATCAGAACTTGAATGTATGTTGTTTTTAATAACCAATCAGAACATGGGCATATTTTATTTACCACTCGGTAACCAATTAGAACATCCAAATCTGCTGTATAACCAATCAGAACATACATACCTGCTTACCTTATTCTTATTTTGTTTGCATTCCCTTGTATATATTGTGTTATTTCAGATATTCCTGTTTGTACCAAGCATCGACAGTTAGCAAGACAGCATGGTATTGAACCCCTAACATGTCATTCTGAGAATGGTACCTTCACTCCATTACAATGCTGGGAGAACGTTTGTTACTGTGTTGATATAAATGGTGTAACTATTCCACGAACTGTCACTTTAGTTGATAAGATGGGACGTCCTTCTTGTGAACAATTCAGATACGGTAATGCTGGGAGAATGTCTTTTACCTTGTTGGTCAGTTGTATAGGATGCCCTTTCTGCATTTCACTACTGTCATTTATATCAACTTTTGAAAAATGTTATTACCTTGCCCGTACCATCAAAAATGGAAGGGAAAAGTATATTAAGGGGAAAATTTCTGTCCGGCATTGTCGTCATCGTCGTTGTTGTCGCCGTTAATAATTGTTATTGTGTGCACAATAACTTTACTAATTCTATTCCAAACTTGGTCACCTTATTCATCAGTATAAAGTCTTTCCTGAGTATGAACAACTGATGTTCTGTATAAAAATATCATGCAAAATAGAAAAAATCTGATAAAATATTTTGACTGTTTCTACTCGACTGATCACTGATTATACACATTCAAAGGTCACTGATCTCAGTGGAAATATGCATTGTTGTATGTGTTCAATAAAGTAAATCATTTATCTTGTAATGCTATACTTGGTAATGTATCGCCCAAATCCCATGAGAATACTATACTGGGTTTAAAAACCAACTCATTAAAAGATTTTTTGCATTTTGATTTTCTGACATCTTGTTTTCTGTAAAGATTTTATTGGTAGGTTTGCAAATGTGTATCAGACTGTGCATGAGATAACCAATTTTAAATGGAAATACATATAACATGCACTTAAATACCATGTTACAATTCAGGGAGGATGTTTGTTACTACGTTTTGTTTTTAATATTAATCTGAAATATCTGAAAATAGGTACTTATGGATTGACCTCACACATGCTTAGGCAGATCTAGTTCAAACTTCAGGCATTATTATGTCTGGCACATGCATTTTGTTTCACCATTCTGGAATTCGATCTCAGGCATGCATGAATGGATTTTCTATAAAATTTGTACATGCACATCATTTTATTATTTGGATCAAGTTCAAAATGGCTGGCTGGCAGCCATTTTGTTTCAAAGAATGCAGTTTCTGATATATATATTCAACATGCCTGGATCAATCAAGTTGAAACTTCATCACATATATCACATATTATTATAATACATCTGTCACCGTAACGCCATAAGTAACAGCGTGCCGTTATTTTGCGGTATTGCACTGGGTATTTTCATCCTACCATATTAGGAAATGTGAATTCCAAATATGGAACAATTATGCATGTAAGCATCCTCTAATAATAAAAAACAAACATGGCTGCTCCCGGTTTAGACCGGACCCCACAAAAAAGAAGTTCGCTAAATCTGTTCTAAATGTTTTGGATTTTGGCATTCCCATTATGTATTCGTGGGAGGAAAAGATGTATAATAATATGTCATATATATATCTCGTGTCTATAATACAAATAAAGGCTATGTCATTGACAATGACTTGTATTTGTTTTGCAGTCAATTTGAGTACTTCTATTACTGTTCCACCTATGCCGTTGTTAACGCCGGTCACCGTACAGAAGCCAGAAGGTCCAACCACTGTATGGAATGTACCTAATTACCCACACACCATTGCAACATCACCGATCACTACAAAGAGTAAGTTGCCATCATAGGTTTTGTTGTCTTGGCAACTTTATCGGGGTCGCCAATCTTTTCATCTAATGACGTCCTCACATTTAAAAACAATGTTTTACACATTTTAATTGTTCTGGAACAATATTTTTGGGTAATTTCATGAAGAACATCATATTGGAGCCTTTAATAATAGTCTTAAACCATAGCACTATAATGTCTGGGATATTGCACAATTGCATCATGGGAAATGTAATTTGTATGGCCCAACCATCTTTTGCTTATGTATACAACTGTTACAGGAGGTGTTTATTCTATATGCTATATGCAGTTTGGATTAACAATTTGATTAACAATGATTTGAATAGACTCGTCAACTTTTAGGCCAGAATTCCTCTTAAAGGTCCAATTCACTTGCCCCGAGCAAGTGTGAATTGGAGGTGTGGCTATGCTAATGAGTGTTGTTAATCACTTGCATAGCCTATGACACATCCTGTTTCAGCGGTCCAACATAATGTGACTTTGATCGACAGTAGTTAATTATTCAAGATTAGTAGCGCGTCCCTTTCCCTGGTTCGTGTTTTTGACTTTTATCCGCCAAAATCTCAGCTCGTACACTATTTATTGTCATAAATACTACACACAGTCACTGCTGTGATATTCATAGTCACATGCATCCACTTTGGCACGACATAATCGACCTGTAAGTTCGAGAAAACACGTTTTTACCGGAGCTTCGCTGGAGCTGTTTACTACAGCGTGACAAGCAAGGAAATAACCCCTATTGTTTAGGAGCGTATTTATAGTATACCTGGGCCTTTAAAGCTTGCCCAACTAGTAAACTAACATCACAATTGTATTCTACATATATTCATAGTTGTATAACATACTGTTTTCATTATGTAAAAATGTTGAGAACTCATCATTGTTTTCTTGTTTTTAGGTAATCCAAGCGGCCATTTTGAATATAATGAAAATTAATTCTGCTACATGGAATTTAATATGTTCATTTTTCACAATATTATTTCAATTTTTACGTTGTCCATATCATCATAAATGAGGGGAAATCTATGTGACCGAAAAATGTCTGCCCTTGTTGTTATCGTCATCGTTGTTGATTCTGGTTCCCTGTTTGTTTTCAGGCATGCCACATTGTAGAAAACAACAATTGATTGCTGAGCTCATGGGAGCTGAACCAGCACAATGTAATAAAGATGGTACATTTATTCCACAACAAACAATTAATAATGTGACATACTGCGTGGATGTCTGGGGTACTGTACTTGTACATACAATTACGCCAATGTATCCAGGTACACCAGTGCCATCATTGAAGTGCCAGGATTTCAGCGCAGGTTAGGTCAAAAATACATTAAAAAATTTAATAATGTCAAGCAATATTTACCATTCCAACAAAATATATATGTAGTTCTTTTAATTGCTTTATTTTATTATATTGCCTAGCTAATTTATATAATCTCAAGTTTCCTGTGTTTTTTTTTATTACTACAGTTGATATAACTCCAGCTTACTCGTCTTCCAGCATAGAGAACCCAGCAGGTGAGTCATGTGACTAATTCGTCATTTATGAATATTTGCTATTAAAAAAGTGTCGCTGTTAAAAAATAAAAATAAAATTTTATTTCGGCGTAATTTTTCGCGCCCGCCGAATTGTAAGTGCAAAAAATTGCTAAAAAAAAATTATTTTTATCTTCATTTTTTTTTCGCCCGCCGCATAACAAACCCGATTTTCATGGGAGTATCATGATCAATGAAACAAGGTTATAAATGGAATAAAATTTTATTTCATTTCTTCTCTTCAATCAATGATCTCACTTACAATTCTTTGAGAATCACACAAATCTAGTGAAAAAGAAGAATTAATTTAATTTTTTGTCCACCCTCCTAAAAAAAAATTCCCTTATAAAAACTCGAGAAACAAGGAATAAAAAAAGTCTGGCCTTATTAAAGAAAATTTATCTTGTTTACAGTTAGCATTATGCTGACCAGACAATCAGAAATGAATTATTGAAATTATTTATAAGGTGTAGCAGCGCATCGTTCAGATTTCAAACAATGTATGTTGTATTTATTCTATGTCAAACAAGATATTGTGCATCCACAATTGCCATATACATTTATTTAAATAATTAATGACAAGTATATTTTTCATCTTGTAATACTTTATATAAATATTGTATTACACTTATATACTTTTTGTGTTCAAAGGACTTTTTTTTGTTTTTACAGTTGAACAACGATGTCTCAAACAAGGTCACATGACAAGAGATCTGAATCTCTGGCACCTGACGTGCCACAACGAGAACGGCACATTCAATCCGTACCAAGAATACAATAGCGCAGCATTCTGCGTTGATTTGAAGGGCGTATTAATCCCTGGTACCATGACACCGCTCACGTCAACGACTAAACGTCCAAACTGTGAGATCTACAGAATGGGTATGCGTATTTAATAAATCTTGAATGGAGTTTACAATGTGTGTGTATCATGCTGTACTCCCATGTTGCAGCTTGAGTTTTCTGTCTAATTGAACTGATTAAACTGAGTCAAAACGATTTTAGTGACTGATTGGGAAATGTATTCCAAAAAAAATTCAGAATGTAGATGGCTGTAGGAATCAAGCTTCTGAAAGCAGAAACTAAACTGTTGTGGTACCTTACATGTATGTCTTATTATTATATGTTTTTACTTTTATTTTGTTCAAAAAATTTAAATCGGGAGGGTCGTCACCTGTGCACGTAAGCGACGATAACAACACATGCTAAAAACGAAAAGGCTCATGCGTAGACGCTTGTTTATAAACAAAGACACACTATGGCCATCTGACGCATGTGCAGGTGACTACTCTCTCGCTTTAAATTATCAAATTCTATAACTATAGTAATATTTTTTGAATATCACTGTACAATTTTCTGTTGCATGCTGGTGTGCCAGACTTAACTAGTTACAGCATTAAAAATGCCCGTGTGTCAATGAAACATCATATTGTCTTTGAAAGCACCTACCATGTACATCTTACTGAAGTAAACAATAGAGGGATTACCTCCTTACTTAGAACGGCAAAACAATATTTACATAATAATGTAGCGTTCTTTTGTCTCTCACAAATAAACGTGAAACCAACAAGTGAAATGCATCATGGGGAAACTCACATATTGTTTCAACCTTGTCCCCAAACCTCACAGACAAAAACCAAATGTGACTGTTACACTGATGTTCGACTGAACAATCAGCAATGTCTATGAATGTGAGCGACTTCTCGGTTATTTTGTAACTTCATCAAATTGTGTACAGCAGTCATGTTCGCCTATACTACAGCTTTCTGAAAATTTATACTTTGCTAAAGTAACTTTTATCACAAAATTAAACATAAATCATTTTTAAATAAATCAGACCTGTTGAAAATAAAAAATTCTGTCTATTTGATCCAAAATTAATAATTTCAAATAAATTCTAGAAAATACTTAAAAATGTGAAAAATGTAGCACCAACATTTTAGGAGGGAAATTATGATGTTTAAATAATTAAAGCGAGAGGGTCGTCACCTGCGGACGCGCGGGAATTGTGTCCCAAGCGACGATAACAACACGAGCTAAAAACGCAAAGACTCATAGGTAGATGCTTGTTTGTAAACAATGACACGCTATGACCATCTGACGCATACGTAGGTAACAACTCTCTCGCTTTCAATACAAAATAATTATGAAATTGAATGTCCTCTGTCACTTGTTGTTAATTGATCAACTAAAGTAAGAAACGGATTAATATCAAAGCATTTACTAATTGTTATTAATTTTGGTGTTTTAATTAGCATTTGGTTCACAACAAATCATCAAACAACTAAAAAGTTTAGTTGAGATTGAAAATGTCATGGAGTGTATGATCACATCAGTTCTATTTTTAGAACATTTCGCAAGCGTGACAAACGCTATTAACTTTGCATTAATTATTGTAATTTATATGACAGTTAATCTGTGTACCAGTGCTGCCAGTCTCCCAATGCCAAAGGTGTTGCCATCAGTCACTGCTCTCACTTCCTTCCTTCCAACCGGACCGGAAGTAAATTATGTGCCGGGAGCACCTGCCGAGACCATAGATACAACAAGTAAGTGTTACCAACTCTTTCAGCATCAGTTTTTGTCACCATTCATATAATTTTTCTTCATATTAATTGTTTCCAAATTATTTATCAAGATCAGTGGCCAATAGTGAATATTAAATAAATAATAAAATAATTTTAATACATAAAAATGAGAACAAAATAATATGCTGCTGGCAAGATTTCTAGAAATATTACACTTTTGCAAGAGCAATTGGTAGGGAGATAGCATTTTTCCTGATCATTTTGTTTTAACGGCCACTGTAATCTCTCAATGCTACAAAACTTTCCCATCTTCCTAGACTTCAAAATTTGAGACAGTTTCCTATGACAGTTCCCACAATTTTAAATTGAACTATATTTCGGCCAATTATTTTGAAAGTGTATCCACCACAAATCATGATTTTTTAATATTTTGCGAATCATGATTTTTTAATAATTTGCTTATTTTACAGCCACACCAACCTGCATCAAAATGCAAGAAGTTGCCATGGCGATGGGCGTTAAACCACCAACTTGTCACGCTAACAGCACATTTACGCCTTTGCAATGTACTAGCAAAGTATGTTACTGTATTGACACCCAGGGTACTATCATACCAGGAACTGCTGCCCCAATTACGCCGTACACCAAGACTCTGACGCTCGTATGTGATAAATATTGGAATGGTGAGTACATAGTAGCAGTGACTTACATATAATAATGAGGTTATTACAAGGATACCGCAAAGTATGCACAAAGACGGTACAGGGTTTATCTACCGAATAAATTGATGCTACTGCATATTCTCTGATACGCATACTTTGTGGTGTCTTTGTAATATAACGTTACATCTTCTTAATCCAACTATTTGGTGGTTAAAGAATTGAACTGAACAACAAGGTGATGCAATTTTTGGAAATATTGCATATTTTATTAATTATTATTAATCTTTCCATAATTTGAATTCACATTTCTAATAAATTAAAATATTCATAATCTGTGCAATACAGCAAACTTTGAAGATGCAGTGAATTGTATTGTTTATAATCTTTTTTTTTATCAGCTTCATCTTATAACCATTATTTATGTTTTCTAGTAACTATTGTCAATACAACTGGGACTGCTGTTACTATGGCAACCACAGCTACTCATGGCATTACTGAAAAGAGGGACACGAGTAAGTATGATTGTTTATGATTTATTTATTTGTTTGTTTGTTTATTTATTTATTTATTTGTTTGTTTGTTTGTTTATTTATTAATTGCTGGCCGATAAACATGTTCGAATAAACTGTAGAATATGTAATCAAGACAGGGTGTTAATATTAATACTTTAATAAGCCAATGAAAGTTGAGTTTTGAAAATTTAATAAACTAGGTGTTTCCCGATTAGCTTAGAAAAGGGCAAATTATGCCTGAAAATGAGAGAATCTCTTATTAAAATCACTCAATGTTTTTGTTTTGTTTTTTAGTTTGCTACAGTACAATGAGAACCACTACCAATATGGCTTTACCCAGCATGCAATGTGAGGCTGAGAATGGTACATTTACACCTCTGCAGTCGACGAATAATGTTTATTACTGCGTGGATGTGCAAGGTAGAACAATACCTGGTACAGTGACACCGATAACTAAAACAACTTACATTCCAAACTGTGAGATCTTCAGAAATGGTGAGTGACCTCTGCATTGGTTATAACCTCTTAAACTCCATACATAATACATGCATAATATGGCTTTGATTTCTTTGGTTGTCAGTATGCTAATGTCCCCTTGAATCGCAGGAGATAATTATTTTGTCAGTAACATACTCAGTAGGGCAACATTTGAATTCCTCTCCCATCATGCATTGCATATATGCTCAGTAACATGCTCAGTAGGGCAACATTTGAATTCCTCTCCCATCATGCATTGCATATATGCTCAGTAACATGCTCAGTAGGGCAACATTTGAATTCCTCTCCCATCATGCATTGCATATATGCTCAGTAACATACTCAGTAGGGCAACATTTGAATTCCTCTCCCATCATGCATTGCATATATGCTCAGTAACATACTCAGTAGGGCAACATTTGAATTCCTCTCCCATCATGCATTGCATATATGCTCAGTAACATACTCAGTAGGGCAACATTTGAATTCCTCTCCCATCATGCATTGCATATATGCTCAGTAACATGCTCAGTAGAAAGCAACATTTGAATTTGACTTGCATATAGACTAACCATTGTAATGAAATTTAAAAATATAAATGACCTCCTAATATGTTTTAACTTTTCAGTAAATTTGACAACAACTTCTGCTGTACCACCAATACCAGTGGCCATTCCAGTTATTACACCAATGTCGATACCTACATCCATGGGGCAGAGAGTTGTCTATACTGTCCCTGAATCAACCATCAAACAGACCACAGTTACCACTACCGCTCCAATAGTTGTACCTATTGTTGAAAACACTAGTAAGTATCACCTGTAATGGGCTGATCTGATTTATAATTTATCTTGAATCATTTTGTCAGATCCTGTTTTTCGAGTAGATAATGTGTTGTCTTTTTCGAACACAATTTCCGCCCGAGTTTATAGGAACTACTCTGGCAATGCGAGCTATGAGAAGCTACTCTGGAAATGATTGCTGTTAAATGCTGCTCTGGTAATCCTTGCTGTGAGAAGCTACTCTGGTAATGCTTGCTGAGAGAAACTTCTCTGGTAATGCTTGCTGAGAGAATCTCCTCTGGTAATCATGCTGTGAGAAGCTACTCTGGTAATCCTTGCTGAGAGAAGCTCCTCTGGTAATGCTTGCTTGGAGAAGCTACTCTGGTAATGCTTGCTGAGAAAAGCTCCTCTGGTAATCCTTGCTGAGAGAAGCTACTCTGGTAATCCTTGCTGAGAGAAGCTCCTCTGGTAATCCATGCTGAGAGAGGCTCCTCTGGTAATGCTTGCTGTGAGAAGCTACTCTGGTAATCCTTGCTGAGAGAAGCTCCTCTGGTAATGCTTGCTGTGAGAAGCTACTCTGGTAATCCTTGCTGAGAGAAGCTCCTCTGGTAATCCATGCTGAGAGAAGCTCCTCTGGTAATGCTTGCTGTGAGAAGCTACTCTGGTAATCCTTGCTGAGAGAAGCTCCTCTGGTAATCCATGCTGAGAGAAGCTCCTCTGGTAATGCTTGCTTGGAGAAGCTCCTCTGGTAATGCTTGCTGAGAAAAGCTCCTCTGGTAATCCTTGCTGAGAGAAGCTACTCTGGTAATCCTTGCTGAGAGAAGCTCCTCTGGTAATCCTTGCTGAGAGAAGCTCCTCTGGTAATGCTTGCTGTGAGAAGCTACTCTGGTAATCCTTGCTGAGAGAAGCTCCTCTGGTAATCCATGCTGAGAGAAGCTCCTCTGGTAATGCTTGCTTGGAGAAGCTACTCTGGTAATGCTTGCTGAGAAAAGCTCCTCTGGTAATCCTTGCTGAGAGAAGCTCCTCTGGTAATCCTTGCTGAGAGAAGCTACTCTGGTAATGCTTGCTGAGAAAAGCTCCTCTGGTACTGCTTGCTGTGAGAAACATCTCTGGTACTGCTTGCTGTGAGCAGGTCCTCTGGTAATGCTTGCTTAGATTCCCTAATAATACAATCATTTTCTCTGCATCAGCTGCAAGCTTGATTTTTTTGTTTTTGTCATTTCAGATCTACGACCTTGCTTTCGAATGCACCAAATTTTAACAATGATGAATAAGGATAACAAACTTCCTGATTGTAAACCTAATGGATATTTTGAACCACTACAGTGTGACAGATATGTGTGTGCATGTCTGGATGTCAATAATGTCATAATTCCAGAGACCATCACGCCAACTTGGAATACTCCACCAACTTGTTCTCAGTACGCAACAGGTAAATTATCTAAACTTAATTCGATCTAGTGTTCAGAGGGAAATAGTACTATCCTCGGGGGCGGAGCTACGTCACAAGACATTCTACGTTGCTAAGTCGCGCACCACCACCATGTATTTCTATGGGCTCTGCACGAGCTGCTGTGGAATGCCGGTCGATGAGCTGGTGAAAATAGCTAAATTTGAAAAAATAGCACAAAATCAACTTTGAAGTAATCCTGGACAACCAAATTTATACATGTTGGACATGCTTGGGTTATCTTGTTACACTGTTCAGGGGAGTCTTAACAACCATCCCAAAGTACCGTTTTCTTTAAGTTTTTGGCCTTTGTTTTCATGTCCGCCCCCGAGAATTGATATAGAGCAGCTGTTACGTCACATTCACCCTTTCACACTTCGAACTTAGTCACCACTCACAAAACTTGATACGTACTTGTCTTTTCTGATTTTGTCCACAAAATTTTTGTTAAAACATGTAGTCAATTTGAAATTATGGTTATTTGGTTCAAAATTGAAGTAAAATGCATGACAAATTTTGGCATGAAAAAATGTGGCATTCAAAGGGTTAATTTGGCGATTTGGCATTTGGCGATATCACTTAATACTCAGCAGATTGTCAAACCAATATGGCCCACAAATGGTTTTAATCATATCTTGATTCTAAGGCATGACGAGTGAACCTTCTCAGCTTCATTTTGTGAATACCTTATTTTTGCTGGAATAAATTTTCGCTAAAAAGGCTTTTTGGGCGTTTTGCTTGGAATTTATTTTCACTGATTTTTGATGAGATTAATGTAAAATATAGGAAAAAATGTATATCCGCTGGATTATATTTTCATGGAATTATCCCTTCAGTGAAAATAGCGAAAATAAATTCCAAGTGAAAATAAAGTATCCTACAGTACCACAGGATTAAGTTCTCAGACATCTTCTGTTAGGGAAGCTCATTTGTTAACACGAGTGAATTTTTGCATTAACCTGCAGCATTGAACGAATCATATCGAATCAAAGCCGAAAAATACAAAGTACATGGTTTTTCACATACAACTCTGGAATTCTCTTCTACTTGAACAAAGACATTTTCCAAATGAATATATTTTTTTTTGTAAAGCGTATAGTGTGGTGTAACTTTTCAAACTACTTAATGAATTCTGGCAATATATAAATACTCCTTAGCCCCCGCTGTCAACTTTGACGAGCGGAGCTTATCATATGAGTGATTGTCCGTTGTCGTTCGTGTCAATTTTTTACTTTTTCGACTTCTTCTTGAAAACTACAAGCCTGAATGCTTTGATACTTGGTGTGTATGTACCTTGGGTAGATCTCTAGGTTTGTTCATTTCATGATGATACCGGTATCTTCAATTGTCTAATTTTGGTGAATATTTTTTCATTTTTGGTAAAAAGTGATATTTTAGACTTCTTGTTAAAAACCGCAAGTCCAATTGCTTTGATATTATATATATAGGTACTACATGTGGACCTCTCTCAGATTTGTTCATTTTGTAATGATATCTTTAATTCTCTAATTTTGGTGAATATTTTTGTCATTTTTGGTAAAAAGGGATATTTTCGACTTCTTGTTAAAAACCGCAAGTCCAATTGCTTTGATATTACATATATAGGTTCTACATGTGGACCACTCTCAGATTTGTATATGTACCTTGGGCAAACCCCTCTTAGATTGTTCATTTCATGATGATATCTTCAATTCTCTAATTTTGATGATAGTTTTTGTCATTTTTGGTGAAAAGTGATATTTTTGAATTCTTGTTGAAAACAGCAAGTCCGATTGTTTTGATACTATACATTTTGTTCTTTTTCTAAGGATATCTTCTGTTCTTTAATTGCAATGTGCATTGCTAACAGTGGAGCTATTCCAGCTGACAGGCTGCTTGTTATTATTATATCTATAGATATATTATATTACACTACATGTTCTGTGAGAGCAGGTTTTTAATAGGTGTACTATGTTTATTTTCAGTGAGTGTTATTAATACTAACGATACAACTGTTGTCACCAAAACCAACCCATTAGCTGCATTACTACCTGAAGGAATGAACAAAATTACAAGTGAGATATACTTTAATATGTTAATTATGCAAATTAGGTGATTAATATGCACAAATATCCACCCAAAAGTATGTGAATCAAATGCGTTTTATATGATAAGTGTTGGCTCATACTTATATTCTGTGTATTTATCGCAGAAATATACGAATATGAGATTGATGACAGTAACGAAATTTTTTTTTAAAAGTATTGAATATATTAATGGTATTTAATATTCAATTGAAATAATATATTACCTCCCGTATTGTTTTAGATTTTGGACCATGTACACGTCATCAACACATTATGAAGAAACTTGGTTTTCGTACCAGTCTGACGTGTCTCCAGAATGGCACGTTTTCACCACTGCAGCAGCATAACGACCTGTCCTGGTGTGTTGATCGAGATGGTAGGACTATACCCTATACTGTTAACTTCAATATTGAAGGGTCCTCACCACCAAATTGTGAACCATTCAGAGGAGGTAAGTTGAATTCTGTAGTAGGTTATTGGCCATTATAGATCGCTATGTATATTGCTATCATGAACACATTGCCTGATAAAAGCATCCATAGATTTACAAAATGAGTAGGAAAAGCATCAACAGATGACATGGTTAAGTAACTTAGCAGACTGACTAACTGCCTCTAAGAAGCTGTGTCTAAATTTTCAACAATTTTTTTTTGTTACTCTTCTTTTATTTATAGTGAGTATGAACACCACCATTATCGGCAGCATGATTCTAAACCCGCTGGTAAAACCTGTTGTGACTGAAGTTTCTTTAATGACTCCGACTGGGACTGAGAAAATCCAGGCTGTCGTTACAACCACTATTGCTACTGATAGTACAGAGATACCAGATATATTCACCATTCCTGAAGAAACCTTTAATATCACCTTTAATTGGGACACTCCTACGAAGGTTGTAGCTGTGACTATTATGACGACCAATGGAACGCAGACAATTTATACATTGAAACAGACTACCAATTCAACAAGCAATGCCACAAACCCCATCATTGTTCCAATTGTCACCAATACTAGTAAGTTATGCCAATTATTATACATCTGTCACCGTAACACCATAAGTTACAGCATGCCGTAGTTTTGCAGTATTGCACTGGGTATTTTTATCCTACCATATTAGGAAATGCAAATTCCAAATATGGAATGATTATGCGCATAAGCGTCCTCTAATAATAAAAAACAAACATGGCTGCCCCATGGTTTGACTGGACTCCACACAAAGAAGTTCGCTAAATCTGTTCTTGGATTTCAGCATTCCAATGATGTATTCCTGGGAGCAAAAGATGTATAATAAAGTTATTACGAGGATACTGCTGCACGTCCGTTGATACTCCCTGTCTTCATGTATACTTTGCCGTATCCTTGTAATAACTTCATATTATATTATGACTGAATACTCTATTTACTGTAATCAACATGATTGGTTACTGTAGTCAACATGGTGAATGATGATTGGTTACTGTAGTCAACATAATGCATGATGATTGGTTACTGTAGTCAACATAATGCATGATGATTGGTTACTGTAGTCAACATAATGCATGATGATTGGTTACTGTAGTCAACATGGTGAATGATGATTGGTTACTGTAGTCAACATAATGCATGATGATTGGTTACTGTAGTCAACATGGTGAATGATGATTTTTTACTGTAGTCAACATAATGCATGATGATTGGTTACTGTAGTCAACATGGTGAATGATGATTTTTTACTGTAGTCAACATAATGCATGATGATTGGTTACTGTAGTCAACATGGTGAATGATGATTGGTTACTGTAGTCAACATAATGCATGATGATTGGTTACTGTAGTCAACATGGTGAATGATGATTGGTTACTGTAGTCAACATAATGCATGATGATTGGTTACTGTAGTCAACATGGTGAATGATGATTGGTTACTGTAGTCAACATAATGCATGATGATTGGTTACTGTAGTCAACATAATGCATGATGATTGGTTACTGTAGTCAACATGGTGAATGATGATTGGTTACTGTAGTCAACATAATGCATGATGATTGGTTACTGTAGTCAACATGGTGAATGATGATTGGTTACTGTAGTCAACATGATGCATAATGATTGGTTACTGTAGTCAACATAATGCATGATGATTGGTTACTGTAGTCAACATGGTGAATGATGATTGGTTACTGTAGTCAACATAATGCATGATGATTGGTTACTGTAGTCAACATGGTGAATGATGATTTTTTACTGTAGTCAACATAATGCATGATGATTGGTTACTGTAGTCTACATGGTGAATGATGATTGGTTACTGTAGTCAACATGATGCATAATGATTGGTTACTGTAGTCAACATAATGCATGATGATTGGTTACTGTAGTCAACATGGTGAATGATGATTGGTTACTGTAGTCAACATAATGCATGATGATTGGTTACTGTAGTCAACATGGTGAATGATGATTGGTTACTGTAGTCAACATGATGCATAATGATTGGTTACTGTAGTCAACATGGTGCATCGTGATTGGTTATTGTAGTCAACATGGTGCATGATGATTGGTTACTGTAGTCAACATGGTGCATCGTGATTGGCTATAGGAGTTGATTTTAACAAAACTTTACTAGAATGTAACCTGTAGTTGCCTGGTAATTGACAGTTAAATGATATTTTTTAATTTTGTTTCCATAATACATTAACATAACGTTACTTTAATACTATTAATTTTTCTGCAGGTTTATCACCATGTACTCATCAAAAACAGATTGCCAAAATGCTGGGAGTTAGTGGACCATTATGTGAAACTGACAATACTTTTAAACCACTGCAGTGTTATAATAGCGTTTGTCGCTGTGTAGATCAGAAGGGTGTTACCATCCCAGGCACTATCACACGTCTTGACACTGAGAGTTTCGTTAGAGAGCCTGAATGTCAACAATATAAACACTGTAAGTTTGGTTGAAATGTTCAGTCGACTGTTGATGATATTTTAAATAGTGGAAAGTTGATTCCGATCTACAGGCAGGCAGTGACAATTTTATTATTAGACATTTCAGTGGAATTTGATCTGTAGAGATTCAGTGGAAATTTCATTTTTAGACATTCAAAGGAAATTTGATTACCGGTAATAGACATTCAGTGGGAATTTGATTAATAGACATTCAGTGGGAATTTGATTTGTAAACAATCGTTGAAAATTTGATTAATAGATATTCAGTTGAAATTTGATTTGTAGACATTCAGTGACAACTTGATAACTTTATAATAATTATTACAGTATTATGATAATTGATTTTTTAATGTTTGTATTTCAGTGACTTTAATCAACACAACTGTAACAAATGTGACAAAAACTACTCGCAAAATTATGACTGAAACCATGGCAACAGGTAAGCATAGTAACACATCTATCAAATTTTAATTATTTTATTCACCAGTTTTATATGAAACTGTTTCATAATGTCATTAATGTACCATTCATGCTTTTACATCCTTGATATTGAGTCTGTACAATGTTCATAAATGTAGAACAGAGGAGACCACTTCATTTCGTTCTTTATAGTACTGTAGAATACTTTATTTTCACTTGGAATTTATTTTCACTATTTTCGCTGAAGGGATGTTTCCATGAAAATAAAATCCAGCGAATATACTTTTTTCCTATATTTCACATTAAACTCATCAAAAATCAGTGAAAATAAATTCCACACAAAACGCCCAAAAAGCCTTTTCAGTGAAAATTAATTCCAGCGAAAATAAAGTATTCCACAGTACTTTGAATTAGTAATAGTCAACAGTGTAAAACAATTATGTAGTGTTGTGTTGTATTGAAATATAAATTTGAAAATCTAGGTCAAATAATAGTAATATTAAAGAGGCAATACATTTGTAGCTGTGATTTTTCTTTAAATATAACCAAATCTCACTGAGAAATATTGTTTTAGACATATTACATGGGTAAAAGTGACTACACAAGGGCATATCACATAAAATGTCATGTGATAACTAACAGTCAAGTAGTCGCCATCGTTGAAATCGGTCACAAAATGGGGACCATAGAATATCATGACAGACAAGGCACACTATTGTGGGAAGTGACACATAAAATCATCAGTGAAAGACCGTTAGAGAGTCGTATTTGACATGATTTCGCCAAGGGCCTTGGTACGTAGTCCCTGAGGTTCATGCCGAAAACCTAAAATTTAAAAATAATTTAAAATACCAAAAGATGCTTGTCATGATATGTAAATTTCTCATCCTATGTCACCACAAAGATTTTAGATATGGAAAAACGTCTTCTGTCACCATAGTAACCATGATATCGGCATTTCAAAACTGATTGCCATGTTTGTATTTATAACTACTATTTCATTAAAAAAAAAATAGGTCAGTTACCCCAAATTTTCTTATATCTTATATTAGTTTCAGAAGACAACAATACCGGTAACATTTTAAAATAATTCTGGATTGAATTCAATTATGAGGCTTTTATTTCAAAAAATTTTCTCAGGTATTTTTTTTATTTCATGCCTTGTTGTATACTTGTATTCAGCTGTTGGGCCATGTACTCGTCATCAGTGGATTGCGACAACTCTGGGTTTGAAAAAAATGAATTGCAATGCAAAGAGTGGCACGTTCTCACCAGTGCAGTGCGATGACGAGGTGTGTTACTGTGTTGATCATTTTGGTGTTACGATACCAGGAACTTTTCATTACACAACTGCCGCTCAGATGACAACTGTATGTGAACCTTACAGAAATGGTAAGTTTGTAAAACAGAAATGAAAACTAAAATTATTGTCAAAGAGCTGTAGTCATCATGTCGTGTTTTCCATGAAATATATACAACGAATTCTGAACCAAATAGGTTACCATACATGTACATTAAAAAAAGACCTTATTAATCTAAGAGTAAAATTATTTTGGTAACAATTTGCTAAAAAGAAATTCACTTTTCATGAGTATAATTTTGTTTTTTGCACCTTCAGAAGTCACCTACAGCCGCATGCATTGTTGATACTTTTTCTGAAGGCCCCTTCCTCCATCTGTTAACAAGCTGATCACTTACATGGACTTTTATTCCTGGCCATTCTATATTGATTTAATATCTCTACAAAATTAATCCTGCTACTGTTCGTATAATAATCTTCTCACAACCAGTTTCCTCTCTCCATCACAAATTTAAAAATAGTCCTGTATATAGTCTGCACAGAAGATTTAGACAAAATTTTGCCAATTTTTTTCACAAAAAAAATGAAATTTACTCAAATTTTGTCAGTTGGCTCCAAAATTAAGGTTCATTTCCAGAAATATTAAGGAATACTGTATAAGAAAAAAAAGTGCAGAAAAATTTGGGCAAGAAATTCTGGTGGTGAAAAGGTTAATTCATAACAATTATTTTGTATGTTCTTATTTGCAGTGAATCTGAATACAACAATAAACAACACTGTTATATTCTCATCAACACTGCAGCCAATAGTTAGAAACTTCACTATATTGACTGCATCTGGCGTGACTACAATGTGGGCGATACCAATGACTGTATATGATGGCTCGGACGCAGTCGCTGCGAACACAACTGCTACGTACTTACTCCTCAACACGCCAACAGGACCACAAAGTGTCTTGACAACTAAAAGTCTACCCGCTAACGCCGTACCAACCAGAAACACAACGGACAACAGTAATATGACAACAGACTATACAACCACCATCCAATTACCCACAGGTCCAGTTACCATCCGCGTCAAAACCCATGCATCTACCAATACAACATCCTACATAAACTATTCACTAACCATCGTTGATGTCGGAGTAACAAAACCATTGGAGCTGTTCACTGAGACCAAAACAGCATACCCAACCCAACAGTTTGTGGTGACTCCGTACGAAACTGTACACGTTAACACAGAAAAACTGTTTGATTTGAGCGTATCTCGATTCACGGACCCGAAGTTCGGTACTTTCCCATTCATAAATACGACACACTCGCAAACTGTGGCCAATGAGAATCCTGGAAATAACAAACTTACACCAGTGACAGTTATCACGCCAAACGGGCCAATCACAGTTATGATGCCAGATATCACTCCACTGACAACTCTCGACACAACTAAAACTACGACTGACGCCGACACTACAGTGCTACCTATGACTGTAATGACCCCTATCGGTGTGAAAACCATCTGGACTGTCGTCAGTACGACAGCAAGTAAAATCATGGACTACATACCAGTCAAACCAATAATTGTTTCAATTGTTTCTAACACAAGTAAGTATAAATTGAGTAATAATAATAAATTCATTGCATCCTTAAAAATAGTTTCTATAAATATAATAGACTCATTCAACTGTACATGTGTATATAGATATTGTAGACATATTAATGAATCTTTTCAAGTATATTGGAGAGTAAATTGGTGGATGGAAATTTCCGCTGTGTGTCCTGGCTGGAAAGTTTAAAGCAAGAGGATCATCACCAGAAATTGAGTCCCAAGCGACGATAACAACATATGCTAAAAACGCAAAGGCTCATGGGTAAATGCTTGTTTGTAAACAATGACAGGCTATGGCCATCTGACGCATGCGCATGTGATGACACCCCGCTTTAAGCTACGTATGCCTTAATAATTAAATTGCTTGAATGTGTTCCACCTAGTTTTAGTTGGCATATTGCATTTTAGTTTGCATCTTCAGTACCACGTCTACCACATCCAAGTTGTCAACAAGCTGATTAAACTTGATTTTAAGCGATTTTATTTTGACTCAGAATCCTCCAAAGAATCGGTCCTGTTAGAGGGCACACTTGTTAAATAAGATGATTGGTAAACTTTATTTTTATAACTGTTACTTAGTTGGATTGAGTGACTGGTCTTTGATCAATGATTGGTTGATTCATGACTGGTCTTCGATTAATGATTAATGATTTAATAATGATTTCACATTAATTTGTGTTTTTACAGCTCAACCACCTTGTTTCCACCAGACTCAAGTAGCTAAAGGATTAAATGCAGTGGAACCGACCTGTGAATCAACTGGGTATTTCACTCCACTGCAATGCATCAAGGGAAATTGCTATTGTGTTGACGTGAATGGGGTAGTTATTGCAGAGACAATTATTCCAACTTATGTTGGGGTAAAACCGCAATGTGAACGTTATAGAACAGGTAGATGCTTTAATAAACTTCTTACATTAAGTCAAAAATACACTTGTTAGCTCTGCTGTCGACTTTGTCAAGCGGAGCTTATCATATGAGTGATTTCCATCGGCGATCGTCGACTTTTTACTTTTTCGACTTCTTGAAAACTACAAGCAAGAATGCTTTGGTACTGTATGTACCTTGGGTAGACCTCTCTCAGATTTGTTCATTTTGTGATGATATCTTCAATTCTCTAATTTTGATGAATATTTTTGTCATTTTTGGTAAAAAGTGATATTTTCAAATTCTTGTTGAAAACAGCAAGTCTGATTGCTTTGATATACATATTGTTCATTTTTGAATAATATCTTCTGTTGTTTAATTGAAATGTGCATTGCTAATAGCGCAGCTATTAGAGCCGACAGGCTGCTTGTTTTATACATATAGGTAACTCAAGTGAACCTCTCTCAGATTTGTTCATTTTGTGATATTATCTTCAATTCTCTCATTTTGATGACTGTTTACGTCTTTTTCGGTAAAAAGTGATATTTTCAACTTTTTGTTAAAAATCGCAAGTCTGATTGCTTTGATACTGTACATATAGGTACCTCAGGTAAACCTCTCTCAGATTTGTTCATTTCGTGATGATATCTTCAATTATCTTATTTTGATGAATATTTTTGTCATTTTTGGTAAAAAGTGATATTTTCAAATTCTTGTTGAAAACAGCAAGTCTGATTGCTTTTGATACTATACATATTGTTCATTTTCGAATGATATCTTCTGTTGTTGAATTGAAATGTACATAGCTTAGCTATCTCAGTCGACAGGCTGCTTGTTTATTTATATTGATCAGAATCTATTTTGTTTTTGTTTACAGTTAGCGTGTTGAATACCACCCATCCTAACATCATTATCAAGACTAAACATATTCCTCACCCATGGAATATGAATATTAAGAAGACCTTCACAGAAGGTAAAATTGTTTCTTTTTTTTATTAGTACTGTAAAATCTGTATTAAAAGCCGTGGCTTCTATTAAACTGGTACAATGCAACAGAGGGGTGCGGCTTCTATTAGAGCATCTACACATATGAGAAATGGTGAATTTTTTGGTTCTCAATTGTTCAAAAAGAATGGATGGAGCTTCAATTAGGAATGCGGTTTCTAATACAGATTTTACGGTAGTAATGAATACACCATTTCATATACATGTACATGTAAATTGCACCCTCTAGTGGCAACTTGAAGGTTCTTTCAAATTGAAAACTGTTTTTGGTTGTGTTTAGTCCTTCATGATCTAAAATGTAGTAAATTAAATTACTTCAGATTAAAATGGTTTTTATGCTTTGAACGGCTTTGGCCTGGAGTTTTTTTAAAGGATTTTCATGGTATTTTGATCTATTAAATAGGGTGAAAAATTTATCACAATATTATGTTTTAAAAGTGCTATTTTATTAAAAAGTTAGATGTATGCAAAAGCCTTTTAAGAGTATTTAACAAGTAGAAATCATGGTTTTAGAGAAAATCAGTGGGAAACAGTTTTCATAGGAATTCATGTAAAAGCATTATTTCATAAAACTACCATCTATTTTACAATTTTTTTTACTATATTTCACTGATCGATATTTTCTGATATGACGAGATCTTTTCTCTTAAAGGGGCACCTTCCAGTTAAGATTAATTTCACAACAAATTTACTTTCTGGATTAAAATAACAATGGATAACAAAAGATAGATTAACATTGTAAACAACATAAACAATAGTGTCCCATGATTCTTCGGTGCAATCCATGGGATTGAGCGGTTCCCCTTTAAGAATCAATGATAAATGGCTCAAACATCTCTATTTTTCTTGTTTTTTTCTTGTGAATAACATAAAATAAAACCATAGTGAGAAAATCATGGAAATCTGAATATCCTTTCTAAAACCTGTGAACGACCAGAATTCCCAGCAGTGGTTCAAGTTGGCCATTAACGTATTGTTTTGATTTTATTGCATGCCCACTTGAAGTTTTTTCTCAAAACAATCATAAATTTCAGAAAAATCATGAACTGCCCTTTGATACATTGCAACAACTTTATTGACTTTATTTCAGTTTGTTCACTTGTTTTATGTCTCATACATTTTGTACACACATGCATATATTCGATATAGTTGAAACATCCGATACTACACTATTGCAAAATACATGTTTTTATGATGTCATGTGATGTCCAAATATGGATTGATGTTATATACGCTACTTCGTAGTATACCAGTCAATGTACTTGTCGCATGCTTGTTGACATATACCCGGTACCTAAAATATTCTAATATTTGTTTTCCTACTGCAGTGAGTGGACCATGTAAGCGTCATAGAATTATCGCCAATAAGCTTGGTCTCCAGTCTTCACTGAATTGCCATGAAGAAAATGGAACATTTACACCACTGCAGTGCCCCGATACAGATACGTGTTACTGTGTTGATAGCATGGGTGTGACTATTCCTGGTACTATTACTTCAGTGAGTGTCAATACCCCAGTACCACAGTGTGAGCAGTATAGAACATGTAAGTCTGTTTATACAACCCTAGTCGTGCATTCAGGTGAATTTTGATTATGATTGGTTAATTGGGTTGGGAAAGTCACACTCATATTGGTCCTCTCACCTTTTCACCACCAGACTTTCAGAGCCAAATTTTTCTGTACTTTTTTCTTATATTCTTTAATATTTCTAGAAGTGAAGTCTATTTTTGGAGCCAACAGACAAAATTTGGACAATTTTTGGGTTTTTTTGGGTATTTTTGTCCCAATTTTCTGAAGAAAATTGCAGACTATAAACAGGACTATTTTGTGCATTTGTGATGACAACTGCAGGGAACTATTGGTGGAAACGCTAAAGCATATTTGGTGCAATCACAGATGCTTAGAGATTTACCATAATGCAATTAATTGTGCTAAATTTCTGGTATTTCATCAAAAAACATAAATGGACATGATAATCTTATAACCTTCTTACTGTATAGTGTATTTGTATTTTGGACAAATTAAATTCATGGATTCAAACAAAATAAAAAGATGGGCATACAGCATTTTAGTTTGCATCTTCAGTACCACGTCTACCACATCCATGTTGTCAACAAGCTGATTAAACTTGATTTTAAGGGATTTTATTTTGGCTCAGAATCCCCCCAAAAATAAGTCCTGTTAGATCGAGGGCACACTGGTTAAATAAGATGATTGGTAAACTTTATTCTTATAACTGTTACTTAATTGGATTGAGTGACTGGTCTTTGATCAATGATTGGTTGATTCATGACTGGTCTTTGATCAATGATTGGATTGAGTGACTGGTCTTTGATCAATGATTGGTTGATTCATGACTGGTATTTGATCAATGATTGGTTGATTCATCTGATGCTTATAAATAGATCATTTTGTTAATTATATCATAATCCATAATTTTAGACTGATGTCAATAATTCTACTGGATATACGATCACATTTTTCCTTTTGTAATAATCTGTAATTGTGTTTATTTTTCAGTGAATATGAACACTACCAGTAGTGGTACACTGTTACTTCCACCACATGTTCAGCCTATTGTCACAAACACCACCATCATGACACCTACCGGCATTCGTAGTGTTTTTACACCAGTCTTAACTCACATGACAACTTATAATAACCTAACTAACAACTTTACACTGTATGCTAATATGACGACCAATACGACCACCCAGTTACCATTCAATTTACCAGTTAACGTTACCGCAAACGCCACACTGAATACCCCATATACATTCCCGACCAATGTGACTGTTATGACGCCAAATGGGTCAAAGACTGTTAATGTCATGGTTACTGTCATCATCACAAATGCGACTATAATGAGCTCGGCTTTGAGTTCGACAAACGTACCCTACAAGCCCCTGAATAGTCCCATTCCTACGGCGATACGTATTCCCCTCATACCGACCATGACATTGTCAACACCTTGGGGACATAGGCAATGGGAAGACAAGTTGACAACACCAGTATGGACTACACCATTTGCTAGTAGCCCTATAACGTCCCCATTCATGAACCCTTGGACGACTCCATTTAGTACATTGACAAGAACAGCTCCAGTGACAGCCACTGATACGTGCTACAGCCCAGTTTTGTATTCTCTCGCTATTCCATCTGATATCTCTACAACTTCCGAGATGAAGCCGTGGTTTATGCAGTACTTGGTTATAAACTATTTGAATTTCACCGGACCCTTAGATTATTCGCACACACATGTAACTGGTATGATCAAAGATGCTGTTCCCTACACTGGACTTACCCCATATGAACCAATGACTGTCTTTTCCCTGCACGCTTCTCTGCCCATGAATATGATTGACACTCGCATATCTAGCAATATTACAGCAACGCTGACACAGAAGGTCAGAGACACAACCACGTACCCAGTCACATTCATGACTCCATTTGGATCCATGACAAGATGGATGCCTGTTTTTAGTTTCACATGGTATACCAATATGACCCAGTCCTCTGTGCTACCAGTTGTCACTCCCTTGACGATTACAACAAAAACAGGCTTGGAGGTGATCTACACTGCTCAACCACCAGCAGAATTGAAACTTTCCGATACCACACCACCAATGATATTACCATTTGTCATAAACACAAGTAAGTGCAGTAAGTTTTCTTTCTGTTATTGGTCAGTAGTATACTGGGTCAAGTTAGGTCAGTTTCATGTTCCTTCTACATTTTACCTAATTTATTATACATGTAATTATTATTATTATTATTAATTATTGTACCCCACATTCATATCACTGGTTTCAGGGGGGGCTGACCATTAGGGAAAGAGGAGAGACAGTGTGCATACTTTTTTTCCCCCTTCACTGAATGTAAAACATTATTTATATTTTTTCTCTATCAGATTTATGTGTTTTTTTATTTTATTTTATTATTTCATATTTTTCTCAAAATTTTCTGCAGATTTTTTCTAATCATCGCCAACCTTTTTTCTCTGTTCAAAGGTCTATTTTTTTAAAAGAGTTACATTAGTATTGAACAGAAACACTTATATTTGATTATGTAAACACATTGTAAATTTGTTCTTATTACTACAGCCCAAGCACCATGTACCAACCTTCAGCACATAGCAAAGCTTCTTGGCGTTATTCCACCCACCTGTCACGAAGATGGTACATTCACAACATCCCAGTGTACCGGGCAGATATGCTACTGTGTTGACTCAGTGGGTGTGTTGATTGCAAGTACTGTTATAGCACATAGGAGACCATATTGTCACCCTTATAAATCAGGTATCCTATTTTCATTCTTATATTCCTATACTTTTCTCTTTTAGAAAAAAAAACCATTGACCTTATTTGGAAATTATATTACATCATTATGAATTTGTATAACATTTTGACACTGAATTGGTCATGAAAAAATAATATTAAAGTTTTATAACAGCACATTATGTTTTTTTTTTGTCTAGTGACCCTGATAAACACCACAATTACAAATATTACCACAGAAGTCACCATGAGTGCCAATCACCATCCTGTCACTAAAGGTAAATTACCCTTTGTTTTATTGGTATTACATGAATGCAGACCTTCAATACCTCAGTCAAAGGAACCTCATTAATATGGTCTTTATATGAAGTTTGTATTACTTTTTATGGAAAACATTTTTCCAGAAAATAATGAGATGGTATGACGTACTGTTGCAACAAAAACGTATTTATTTGAGTCATGGAATAATTTATTTATAAACAGAATCATGGTAGCTTTGGTCTCTAAACAAATGCAGAGCTGCAGCAATAGGGTGGTCACATAAGACAGGCTTTATACGCGTGTTGCTTGTATGCTATGCTTTGGGACTGCTCAAAAGTACGTGGTCACTATTGGCAGGTGGTCTTATACAGAGGTGGTCACTGTAAACACATGTTTGACTAAATACCATATACCCATACAGTCACACACTAGACACTCCTGTTTGTTTACAGCTGTTGGACCATGTACACGCCATCAAAGAATTGCCAGAAGTTATGGTCTTACCACGATGGACTGTCATGCTGAGAATGGTACATTCATTCCAAGCCAGTGTGTTGATTCTGTATGTTACTGCGTGGATAGGAATGGAGTTACAGTGCCTGGAACTCCTACTGTTGTCACTCCTTACAACCCTGCACCTAACTGTCAACTCTATAGAAATGGTAGGCCTGTATTACTCTACACTTTTAATACTGCATTTTTGACTCCCATGTGCGAAGCACACAATGGGAGTCTTTGCAGTTGGTGTGTCTGTATGTGTGTGTGTGTGTACATTGTATGTGTGTCCGTCTGTTCCACTGTTATCTCAAGAACCATATATCAGTTTTTGATGAAACTTGTTACATATATGCTCTGGGCCAATGCGCATATTTGATAAGGTTTTGGTAAAAATCCATGCATATTAATTACCTAATTTACATAATAATTAGCTAATTTTTAGCTGTTCCAACAACCATTTACTGGATTTTGATAAAACTTGGTGCATAGATGCTCTGAACTTATGCGCAGATTTGATTAGTTTCTGGTAAAATCCGTGCTTATTAGTTACCTAATTTGCATGGCGATTAGTCAATTTTTGTTTTTTCCACTAATACCTCAAGTACTAATTTCATACATATATAGATGTTATAGGACACTGCACTAACCTGATAGTTTTTAGGGTAATATCAGTACATATTAATTACATAATTTGTATAATTAATTAATTTTCAGCTTTTGATATTTCAAGTATTTCATTACATTTCAATGAAACTTGGTACATAGATACTCAAGGACTATGCAGAGATTAGTTTCAGGGTAAATAATTGTGCATATTAATTACCTAATAAATTAATTTTCAACTTTCACCCTGATATCTCAAGTACCAATCATCCCATTTCAATGAAACATGGATGCTGTAGAACAATAGACAGACCTGATTAATTGTGGGTTAAAATCTGTACATTTTAATTACCTAATTTGCATAATTAACTAATTCTAAGCTATCACACTGATATCTAAAGTACTAAATATTTCATTTTAATGAAACTTAGTACAAAGATGCTCTAGGAAAATGTACAAACCTGATAAGTTTGGGGTTAAAATCTGTTCATATTAATTCCATAATTAGCATAATAATTCATAATGTTTTAGTTTTAATCACATTTCAATAAAACTTGATACATAGATGGTCTGTTATATTGCGCAGACCTTATTAGTTTTATAATCAAATCTATTCATATTAATTTTCAGCTTTTCCATCAATATCTCAAGTACTACTTGTACTTCGAATTATTTTTAATGTGTCTCCAATACTTTCAGCACATGGGAGTTCTTTCTAAGCTTTCTTTGATTAATTCTATACATGTCATTTCTTTAGGTGCAGCGTTTTTGACATTTTTTCGCAATCCTCTCTAATGAGCATGAAGATGGCTATTAACTTATTAGCTAGGTAGACATGCTACCAAATAGATTTGATCAACAGTTGGGTATGTCCTTAAGTAACCATGCAAAATTCATTATTAGCAGTTAGAAGTGCTTGCTAATCATAAAATGATGTTTTTGGCACCTACCAACTATAATTACACCCCCAGCAACCAGAGTGAACCTTTATAAGTTTAACCTCTTGATTAACTTAGAGTATACTTTTCATTTGCTGATGAAAAGCATGTACCTAGCAACCATAAACATGTTTATAGCAACCACACACAAGACATCAGCTTTGTAAGTCAATATGGAAGGAAATTTTGACACCTAACAACTATATGTGGCCAAATCCCCTAGCAACCACTGGGGAAAGGGTACAACAGACCAATAAATCGTACTTTTGCAGTTCATGGGAATTCTTTCCAAGTCTCTTATAATTATGATAATGATCAGCTTTATAATCAGGGTTATCATGATAATAATAATATTATTGTTTATTATTGACATAAGTTATTGTAAAATAGAAATGTAGTACAAGTAGATATAAATATTATATAATATTTTATGTTTTAGTTGATTTGAATCTGATGTACAATGGAACTATCATGCTGAATCCAACGACAATTCCTGTTGTCAGGGAGGTCTCTGTAGTAACACCAAGTGGACCAAAGACGGTGTGGACACCAATCACAACTGATATGACACCCAACACCTCCGACAAACTGATGACTTTCCAAATGACAACAAGGAATACGACAACAGCTCGTCAAGTTACCGTAATGACGGCAAAGGGAGTACAGACTATTTGGGCCAATGTGCCATGGACTATATTACCTTTTACTGTACACAGTAGTATTAACACTACCACCAATACTACTAACACAAATTCAAGTAAGTCAGTGGTTAATTTGAAAAAGTGTTATGCTTTGAAATACTGTGATTTGTCGCAACAAAATTTTAAAACTACATGTAGTATTGGGAAATACCTTATTTGCTGTGTTAAAAATGCATCGCTAATAAAATACTTTATTATGTTATTCTGTATCATTAAAATATGACCTAAAAACCTCTGTTATTTACATATTCAAGGCAAGAAAATAAAAACAATTTTGCTTCTTATCTCTCAATAAAATTGAAAAAAAATTACATTTAGATTCCACAACAAAATTAAAATGGAATGCACTACTACTAATATTACTGTGGTATAAAACAAAATATTTTAGGTTCATACATTGCGTGTCTGATATCGAATGTTGGTTTAGTGCCAATAATCTTATTATAATGACTTTTTGATGAAAAATACAAGACTATATAATTAAAATAATGTTTCTTTAGCTGCTGTCATTCACATGATATATAATAGTACATTTGCCAATGTTGTAACTTGGTGGTTTTATGTTTTCCAATGCCACAGCACAAACACCAGCCTGTATCCGCCAGACTCAGATTGCTCATGAGGTGCATGGGGTTGTGAAACCAATATGTTCACCTATCACTGGTGAATATGAAAAATTACAATACAATCCTGTTACTGGTACATATTACTGTGTTGATATCAATGGTGTTATTATTCCAAATACTGTCACCCCATCTATCTTACCAGAACCCTCATGTGAATTGTATGGTAATGGTAAGTATTGAATCCATCCCGGATATGACAATTAACTTTTATCTGATCCGATTTATCTGATGTTGTCTTTATGTCCAAATATGGACATCCTACCATAGCAAATGTAACGTAATTTTGAGATATTCACATAATATGTTGTGAATAAATGCATCCAAAAATTCTAGTGTTATATAAGTTGCCATTGATTTTTTTTATGCATAAATAGTAGTAAATTACTGTCAGGTACATGATGCCCCATGCTTCTAAGCCAGCTAGGTGATTTGAGTGAGTGGTGCAGTGATGATGTACATCAGTCATTCAGAATACTGGAATAATATATACTATTGTTTTTTAGTTACTCTGAATGTTAACGCTACTGGCAACTATACTTGGGCTAATGCGACAGGTGAGTAGTGACCCACTGATGTAAACCTTAAGCTTTTCACCAGTAGACTTTCTCACCCAAATTAATCTGGACATTTTTATTCTTATATTCTTCAATATTTTTGGAAATGCTCCTCTAATTTTTGAACCAACATTCAAAATTTGGGTCAATTTTCAGTTTTTACACGAAAAATTTGGCTATTATTGTCCCAATATTCTGAAGGAAAGTGCAGACTATAAATGAGATTATTTTGTGAATTTGTGAGGGAACTGGTAGTGAAAAGGTTAAATGACCAGATATTGACACTGCATGTCGTCATCTGATTCACATTGGCTGGCAAGATGGTAGTTGGCTAAGTTGGATTTATACTTGGAGAGATGTGTTGCCATAAAGTGAATTCAAATTTTCAGCTTTGTTAGTCTGATTTAAATCTGATTTATGTCGGTATAGTGGCTCCAGATACTATAAATTCTGGTTGCCTGTGTATCCCTCCATCTACATGAGATTTTGTGTATCATGCCACTGTCTACTGATCGAGGCAGTCTATAATTGGTTGTCAAATCCAGAAAGGTGCAACTTGTGTAGCAACACTGTACTTAGTCTGATATAGTTAAAGTTTATGTACATCAGAGAATGATCTTAAAAGTGACTGGATTTTAATCAAATGACTAATTTTTTACTGGGTTTAAATTTTGCTGATTTACCATTTCAGACATACATTTGTATTCAGAGGGTTTTAAATTCACAGTTTTATCATTTAGATAATGTGTTCTATGCTAAATTTTACATATTCACTGGGTTTTAATTTAGCGCATTTTCTAGTCAGCGAAATAAGCAAAATTAAAACCCAGTGAATAATTGACCCTTTTACAGTATGATGTCTGTTCTTTACTTACACCACTATCATGTTTCTTTATTAAATAGGTTCCACTTCATGCTGGCAGCAAAGAAAGTCCGCCTTAGCCACTCCCGGCAAGTTTGTTCCATTTTGTGAACCCAATGGTACATTTACTCCACTTCAGTGCAACCCAAATACTGGATATTGTTTCTGTGTTGATCCAGCCGGCCATGTAGTACCAAAGACAGTAACTCATGTCACAAGAGGAACACCAGCATGTTGGGCATTCCATGGTAATGGTAAGTTGTTAATATATACAAGTATGTATTACTAAGTAGTTACAGTAACCAAAATACTTTATTTTTGCTTGAAATTTATTTTCACTATTTTTTCAAGAGATGATTCAGTGAAAATAAAATCTAATGAATATACCTTTTTTCCTGTTTTTTACATTCAACTCATCAAAAATCAGTGAAAATAAATTCTATACAAAATACACAAAAAGCCTTTTCAGCGAAAATTAATTCCAGCTAAAATAAAGTATTTTACAGTAATACATTCCATAGTAATGGTAAGTTATACTAATACATACAAGTAGTAATCAATTACTGTAACATTCATAACTGAAGAAATTCGAGCCTGTTGGTCATAATAATGGTAACTTACATGTATGCTAATACATATTATTAACCATAAAGTAACAATACAGTAAAGAAGTGAATAGTAAGTTACAGAAATAAAAAGACAAGCACCTGGATTAACTGAAAATATTACAATATCTGTTCTGATTACCAGTAAGTAACTCTACAGCTGCTAGAACAAGTCAAAGGCCAGCCAACTACTGGAAAACATTGTGTCAAACTCAACAGCAGCTATACCAGCCGATTCCAGGCAGTTTCTATCCCAGATGTAACGCTAACGGCGGTTTCTCACCAGTACAGTGTCATGATAGCGCAGGTTACTGTTACTGCGTAACGAAAGATGGAGCTCCAATCCCTGGCAGTACTACTACCATTGGTATCCCAGACTGCTCTAGTTGTAAGTACTTGTTTGGATAAAAATAGTTCTCATTCACAAATGGCCTTCAAGAGTGAGAGTGAGAGAACCATGTGATTAGTGTTGCCCCCAAATATTGTTTGATTCTCTACTGCTCCAAACACCATAGTTTCCATGGCAACAGTAGACGCATTGATGTTAGAGAATGGAACAGTATTCAGGGGGATAAAAACAAGTCGCTTGGACGTATATCTCGCTCTCGATAAAATCTTGATGGCCATATACAAATAAAGTCTATTACTTATCATGATTTTCCTATTGTATCCATGTTTTGGAGAATTATATTGTTTTTTTTTTAACTTACTTCCATACGAGTCCATACAGCAACGTCTCTTATAACATATGCTCTTTACTTTACAGATACATCAGTGCCTGCTCCAAGTAAGTAATGTTTAGCAAAAACAAATATTCCATTTTTGCTGCTAGAAATAGTTACAATTAATTAAAAAAAGTTGATATCTATGTCTCTGTAAAATTAAAGTTGTTCACAGCAATCGCAATATACTTTACGAGTGAATACATATTGACTGAAAATGAATGAGAGCAATAGCATACCAATATACTTTACGAGTGAACACATATTGACTGAAAATGACTGAGGGCAATAGCATACCAATATACTTTACGAGTGAGCACATATTGACTGTAAATAAAGGAAGGCATTAGCTTTAATAGTGAAGATATAGCATATAGTAACAGACTAAATAAGGGCAATAGCATACCAATATACTATACGAGTGAACACGTATTGACTGTAAATATAGGAGGGCATTAGCTTTAGTGAAGATATAGCATATAGTAACAGACTAAATGAGGGCAATAGAATACCAATATACTATACGAGTGAACACATATTGACTGTAAATATAGGAGGGCATTAGCTTTAGTGAAGATATAGCATATAGTAACAGACTAAATGAGGGCAATAGCATACCAATATACTATACGAGTGAACACATATTGACTGTAAATATAGGAGGGCATTAGCTTTAGTGAAGATATAGCATATAGTAACAGACTAAATGAGGGCAATAGCATACCAATATACTATACGAGTGAACACATATTGACTGTAAATATAGGAGGGCATTAGCTTTAGCATATAGTAACAGACTAAATGAGGGCAATAGCATACCAATATACTATACGAGTGAATACATATTGACTGTAAATATAGGAGGGCATTAGCTTTAGTGAAGATATAGCATATAGTAACAGACTAAATGAGGGCAATAGCATACCAATATACTATACGAGTGAACACATAATGACTGTAAATATAGGAGGGCATTAGCTTTAGTGAAGATATAGCATATAGTAACAGACTAAATGAGGGCAATAGCATACCAATATACTATACGAGTGAACACATAATGACTGTAAATATAGGAGGGCATTAGCTTTAGCATATAGTAACAGACTAAATGAGGGCAATAGCATACCAATATACTATACGAGTGAACACATAATGACTGTAAATATAGGAGGGCATTAGCTTTAGTGAAGATATAGCATATAGTAACAGACTAAATGAGGGCAATAGCATACCAATATACTATACGAGTGAACACATGACTGTAAATATAGGAGGGCATTAGCTTTAGTGAAGATATAGCATATAGTAACAGACTAAATGAGGGCAATAGCATACCAATATACTATACGAGTGAAGCTATAGTGACTGGCTGAATGAGGGCACTATCATACCAATATACTGTGACTGACTAAATGAGGGCAATAGCATATCAATATACTGTAAAAGTATATAGTGTATAAGATATACATTGTAGTGTACGACTGAATGAGGGCAATAGCATACTATATGTAAAACTAATTGTCTACCGAGTAAAGATACAATTCTATGAAATTACAATTAGGACCTGCAGTTCTCACATCAATATATAATTGATTTTATTCCTCTATAATTATCATAATGATTGATTATCCCACCATTAAATCATTGCTATAAGTGAGTACAACATTTGAGATTTAGTGGATAACATCATGGCACTCATGGCAGTGTTGCTACGATGAGGGAAGCTTGTTTGTGTTAGGTTGTCGTTTTCCGAAACTGATCTGTCTTTTTATTCTTCTAGCTACTACTTCCAAGGACTGCCACACTGCACAATCACTGTATGACAGATCTAGTAAAATCCACGCTGGCGCTGTGCGTCCATGGTGTGAAGTGGAAGGCACCTACTCTCCTATACAATGTCATGTTGGATTGGGATACTGCTTCTGTGTTGACCCCAAAACTGGTGCAGAAATTCCCGGTACTGAGACTCGGGGCAGACCAGATTGTACTCCTCGAATAACTCGTAAGTTTTCGCACTTCCGTTATCAATACAATTAATATCTGCTTCCCATCATTTAAATGTGAGATTGGGGTATGTTCTTTCTTAAAATATTTAATTAGAGACAGATAGATGAATGTTTTAATTTTTTTTATTCGTTCAGGAATACTGGTAATATGCAAATTTTTACACAATTGAAATCTCACACACATTTCAGTCTTTCCATTCTATATTTGTCAATCTTGCGTTCTTCACATTTTTAAGTGTTTTACATAAGAACAATACACTCATTATGAATATTCTATATATTCTATTCTATGCAATTTTTGCCAATAACCCAAAAAATTTTCAAATATTTAATTTTGCATATCTATGAATAAGTCTGCTTTCCACTTTTCTGAATTGCACATTGATTATATTTTTCTGTACTATCGTTTGAATGTTGTAACTTTTTCCCACCAAAATGCAGATATTACATTTCGCACAATTTATCTATTTTTCAAATTTCTGTGTTATCAACAATTTAATTTTGAATGTCTGAATATTCTATAAACCAGATAGACATTGTCTCACTGTCTACAGATCTTGATCACAAATTTTGTAAAATGAAAGAAATTTTGTTTTTTTTGCAAGTATGCAAGGTGACAAAATAATATGCACATTAATCTGGCTCAAAACCTATAAACCAAGTTTAATTTAAAAAAAGTAATGACAAGTTCCTTAAATTGTAGACCAATTAGGCCAGGCTCAAAAAAATCACTTATGAAATTTTCAAATTGGCTTTTTTAAGGGGAGTTGGGGGATCACATTGGAGGTGCATTGTATGCAAGATACAGAAATATAAGAGCTAATTTTATTCTGAATACAATTTTCCTATCTGGTGAAATTCTTTGTTTTTTTTTTAAGAATAAATAAATATTAATCCCACATTGTTCATTTTCCCATTAGCAAAGTCACCAGTGGAGATAGTAGAAAAAGACTATGATTGCTATGACGATAAAGGCAAAGGATACGAGAGAGGAGAACGACTGTATAGAAGATGCAACAAATGGTAAATATCACTTTGGTTTCACGTTTAGGTAACCTCCAGTCCGTGTCCCTCTAACAGAACTGATTTTGCAAGGATCCAAAGTCGAAATGGAATTTCAAAAATCAGTTTGTTGACTGCTGGATAGGTTGGCTTTTTAGAAAAAATAAAATTGTATTTGACTGTATAGGTTACTTAAGTCACAAACAAAAATTTTAGATCCCTGATTTCCTGCGTTTTCACATTTATTTGTTCATAAAACGTGAATTTTTATTTTATCAAATTACACATTAAATAACTATAGTAGGATGCTTTTCAAGATCTCTTTATCAATGTACAATCAATGCATGCCAGTGAATTAACACAAGTAGTCACAGGAAATCTCTTTGTGTTAGTGGCACACTGCCTCTAATACATCAGAGGGAAAGAATAATGTTTGTCATGCCCGTGGGTGCTACTTTCGAACAAGATTGAATTAATTTAAGTTTTTCGTCATTTGACTATTTCTAGTTGGTGCCGACCTGGCGGTGAGTTTGTATGTACAAAGAAGAGATGTCAATCAAGTAAGTATTTCTCATTACGGTAGTCTCCATTGGTCAAAGTCCAAAATACAGACTTGAGCTTTGACACATACTAGCATACATATACATGTTGATTTTTTTCATTCAATGACCTTTATTTGACTAGTAGCTATTATTGTCAAAACATCATCAATCATTTTTCAAGCATGTTTGGGCTTTGCATTCATATTTACACATTATAATTTTATTTTGGCCAATTTTGTTAAATTTTGTTTGTACAAGTTTTTATATGCACGATGTTTTGTGGGGTGAGGGCTTGATAAAATTTAACATCAAATTTCCATAATGAATGCAATAGCATCATAAAATTGTGTCAATCTCAATGCCGAGAATTATTTTCAGCAAGCTTCAATTTTACATTTACCAGTAACAGTAACCTCTCGGTTGTTTTTGGAAGATAAGAAAAAATAGACGTGGAAAAACTCTGTTTCTTGTAGAGTACTTAAGATTATTTGTAAGCACACATCAATGAAAAATTAATACATTTATGACTTTCCATCTTACACATCCATCTCGTGCAATGTCTCAAATTTGTATTCTGTTCATAATTTTTAGATGTTTGTTACGAAAATGGCAGACGACAGAAAGACGGCTCAACAAAAAGAAATGATTGTAATACTTGGTAAGTTGACGGATTTAAATTATTTTTTTTTACAAAAAGATAAATTATAACTGTTCAAATTTAGTTAACATGGGTTATTTTTAGTTACTTAGTACCTTAATGATTTTTTTTTTCAGTCAAAAATGTTATTTTTACTTTGATACTTGGTATATTTTGTAACAAGCTGATAATAATTGCAATTGCCATAGCAACAACTATATAAATTACCATGACTGTGGTAACATTAACATTATCAACTTTGTTTTGAGGAAGACACTTTACAAACCATTGAAAATATTTAAACCATGAGGTTACTTGTTTTAGTAAGGGGTAGATCATTAAAAACTCAAAATTTTCCCTCACCTAGTTTTGAGATGCATCTTTTGGAGATACAGGTATACATGTATGTATCTGTTTACTACCGATATCTAAGGGACGACGTCAAAATATCGATGTCGGATAAAAAACTTATTTGCTGTAAATTGGGGGTGGGGGGTTTTGAACTCAAAAAAGTTTCCATCCTACAAAAACGATTTTATTTTTTAATAAAGTTAAAAAAACCTTGGAGTATTTGTAGTTTTTTTTTTTTTTATCCAATCATAGACAAAAATAACAGAAAATGAAAAGAAAATGGTTTGGTCCGAGTGTAAATATGTGCGTCAAATGAGGCCAATTTCAGGGCATGGACCTAGAGCATGCACAGAACCCAGAAAAGTAGTTTGCATATGCGTATATTCCTCTTCATTATTACAACCAACCGCTATGCCATACTACTGTCCGATTATCAATTTGTACTTAATAGTGAATGTAGTCTGACGTTTCAGTGGGGGGGGGGGGGTTCAGGAAAAAAGTAAAAAATTGAGTTTTTTTATCCGACATCGATCTTTTGACATCGTCCCTAAAGAACTGCTAATCTAACAAATTGAAACTGGGTAAGGTCTTGGTGGAAATCACTAAATCTAAATCTGGAAATTAGTTGAAATATTGTGGTCTGTTTGGTTATCCAGTATACTGTAAAACACGTCTTTTTAGCTAGAATGTCAATTGAGAATAAAGTATATTCTCACAATGAGATTGTTGGCATTTTAGCTAAATTAAGATTTAGTTTAATAATTCATGTATGGAGTCAAATTCGCTAAAATGGCATGTAGCTATTTCAATGTGTTTTACAGTATATTTGTTCAACATATTATTGCCTGAAGCGTATGAGATTTGTGTTTGATTACGTTTCCAGGCGCACAAGGGGGGGGGGGGCTTAACAATTTAGTTCATATGCGTGTCTGCTCTACAAATATTTCAAGTACCAATCATCAGATTTCAATGATGCTTTGTGATACTGCACAAATCTGATAAATTTTCAGTGGAAATCTGTTACTAATATATAATGGTGTTATACACTACTCTACTCCCATATATGTTTTGTTTTTTTTAATGAAAACCATTTAGCAACAGGCCAATTTTTCGTTTATTGTGATACACTTCTGTCTCTGAGATTCAATGACTATCAAGTACTTTTAGTTTGAACAATGTTAGTATACATTCACTTGGTTTACTAAATATATTTCTTGTTGTTTATTATTTTAGCACATGTATGGGAGGTGCATGGGTTTGTACTTTGAAGGCATGTACGACAAATCAAGAGAGACAGACTTTAGCAGCAACAACAACAACAACAACAACAACCCATACTGGGACAGAACAAAGTGAGTTTTAATCACAGACTGCACGTCATCTCTGTCATGAACTTTCATGCAGTGACTATCTTTGCCCATTAATATCATGCAGTGTCCATCATTGGTCTGTGATATAATGCATTTTTTGATCAATCTGTAAATGTAAAATAACACGTTTGTACCTTCATTCACAGTAGCAGCATGTCCGAGTGGTCAAACCATAGAAAAGTGTCCTTATGATCCATGTGAAGCGATGCCAATATGTCGCAGTAATCCCTTAGCCGTCTGCATACCAAATGATTGTGCTGGATGTGAGAGAGTCTTCTATGATCTCTGGGGTAAACAAGTCAAATGTCAGGTATGTTTGCATCATCTCTGAATTCCACAGACAGAATTATACTTTTGTGGTTGCTGGTCTGACAGATTTCAATTTCTAATACTGTAAATTTTGTAATTCTCACTGCTAGAAATTTCAGGATTTAATGGCAGTCGTAAAAAGTCACTGACTCCACATGTCACAGGATTCCAAACTATTTTCACTGCTACAAAATGTTGTCATTTACATTGACTCGTATCATATAAAGTGTTGAACAATACTTTTCCCAGTGATCTATCATAGCTACCATATGTGTAACAATTGTGAAATCATGCTCTTTTTTTTTTTTCAGGACTGGGATGAGTAAATGATGCCAACCAAAACTACCAAACTGAAGTTATTATTTTTTTTAAGTTTTTTTTCTTTTGATTTTATTAAGAAGAAATTTCCTTGCTGAGTGTAAACAGATGGGTTATCTCAGGGATAAATGATGCGGGAATAATAAATGGATTTTACAGTTATTTCACAATAATAAACTGCTTTGTGTTTTTACTTTGAGATACAAGATACTGTAGGAATTGTAATGATTTAAGTTTGTAACGGGTAAACACATTGAACTTAAACACTAAGCATTCTACTGTAACAACCTATATATTGCCTGAAAGCTTAGATATAGGTTGTACCAATGTTTAAAGGGATTACCTGACAGCCAGTATCGTTATTGTGAATATTGTAACATACTATCTGCAATATAGTCTTTGCCATCTTTCTTTCCTTCAGCAGCATTTTCATCTTCAGTATATCATTGTATTACGGTTTTAGGTGATTGTGGCTTTGGCAAACCAATTACAACTCTTTGTATGATGTTTTTGCAGGATTGTCACAAGTCCCGTTTTACAACCCATTTGCAACAGCTGCTCTAGAAAGGAATGGTCAATAAATTGGTTGACCATTTAACTATTCCAAATTTTGAATTACATATAATGACACAAACTGCTCAAACATACCATAATACAGATGTCTGATGGCTTTCTTATCTACACATTACTAGTGTAAGGGATACTTTATTGATCAACAATATGATGAACCAAACACTCCATGTTTATAGATCTCTCTAATGAATCATGACCATCTACTTCCTTATGTTAAATTGCTTGCTACCTGCACAGATTAGTCATTGTGCAACTCGCTACATGTATTCACCAAGTGAATGAGTTGATTCTAATATTTGAAACAAATGAAACCCATGGAAAAATTTGCTGACTGTCACTTCCCAAACACACATACTCTCTGCCTCAGACTTTTCGGGATTGATTTGTTTAGTGAGATGAACATTATGCAAGTAATGTCGAGGATTAATAAGATGGAGAAGTCAGATATGCAATGAAAATCTTGTATGTATAGCTGGATAATGTGTGTGTTCTGTGATGCATCCATCCATCCATCCAATTTAATTTACTACATTCCATTAATGCATTCTTACAAGTTGCAAGACCACAGTTGAAGTTGTCTGGAAAGTCGTTAATTTGCGTGGCAAATCAAGGAGGCTGTCTTGAATGTCAAAAACAGTACAGAATAAGAAATGCTGTTCATAAATTCGGAAAAGTTTGCTGGAAGGGAGAGAAGTTGGTAAATTTGAACAGTAAATTAGAAATGTCTGGAAAGTATAAAATGTAGAAAAATTGGCAAAGTGTACTGGAAGGTTGATAAAATCAGAAATAACAAGACATGAATGTCACAGTCCCCGTTATTTGATTATTTCTGACAACTAAAAACTTCCACTGACCCATGTTCAGAATCTACTAAGTGCAACAAAACTATTTGTCATACATGTATACTTAAGAAATTTGCATTCATAAATCTGAGTGAACCTTGATGTACATGACCAGGACCTGGGTCAAATCAAAGTTCAAATAACTGCATTGTTTGCATATTTTTGGAAGGGTGTGGTCATTATTGCCAAAAGCACATCTACTCGTGTCAAGGTGTAATCATACCAAATATGAATAAAAAATCGACACTGTGGTGGTAGAGATAGCAGCAAATAACTGCATTGATCAAATTTGCATATTTTTGGGAGGACGTGGTCATTACTGCCAAAAGCACATCTACTCATTTCAAGGTCTGATCCTACCACATATGAACTAAATTGGCCCAATGTTTGCTGGGATAAGAGCATATAACTGCATTGATCTAATTTGCATATTTTTGGAAGGGTGTGGTCATTATTGCCAAAAGCACATCTACTTGTTCCAAGGTGTGATCCTACCACATATGAACTAAATTGGCCCAATGTTTGCTGGGATAAGAGCATATAACTGCATTGATCTAATTTGCATATTTTTGGAAGGGTGTAGTCATTATTGCCAAAAGCACATCTACTCGTGTCAAGGTGTAATCATACCAAATATGAATAAAAAGTCGACACTGTGGTGGTAGAGATAGCAGCAAATAACTGCATTGATCTAATTTGCATATTTTTGGGAGGACGTGGTCATTACTGCCAAAAGCACATCTACTCATTTCAAAGTGTGATCCTACCACATATGAACTAAATTGGTCCAATGTTTGCTGGGATAAGAGCATATAACTGCATTGATCTAATTTGCATATTTTTGGAAGGGTGTGGTCTTTATTGCCAAAAGCACATCTACTCGTGTCAAGGTGTAATCATACCAAATATGAATAAAATCGACACGGAGGTGGTAGAGATACATTTGTAGCAGCAAATAACTGCATTGATCTAATTTGCATATTTTTGGGAGGGTGTGGTCATTACTGTCAGAAGCACATCTACTCATTTCAAGGTGTGATCCCACCACATATTAACTAAATTGGCCCAATGGTTGCCGGGATAAGAGCAAAAAACTGCATTGATCTAATTTGCATATTTTTAGGAGGGTGTGGTCATTACTGTCAGAAGCACATTTACTCATGTCAAGGTGTAATCCTACCAAATATGAATGAAATCGACACGGTGGTGGTAGAGAAAGCAGCAAATAACTGCATTGATCTAATTTGCATATTTTTGGGAGGGCGTGGCCATTACTGTCAGAAGCACATCTACTCGTGTCAAGGTGTAATCATACCAAGTATGAATGAAATCAGCTCAATGGTTGCTAAGATCAAAGGAAATAACTGGATTTAGCTAATTTGCATATGTTTTGGGGTAGGGTGTGGTCATATTAATATTAACCTTAAAAGATGATTTCCGATGATAAGGGAGCTATTTTGAAATTGGGTTCTGAGGTTCTGCAATATTGGTTCTGAGTTCTGAAAACTATACACTACCGATTGAATACATTTGGTAAAACTTGTGAATCAGAAATCAGGAATTCATGAATTTGAATTTAACAGAATCAATTATCCTGAGCATGCTCAGTTGCTCTGTCAGTGTAGTAGAGAGAGGTAATTTTGGATGAAAATCTTAAAAAAGACCCACTTAGGATATTCAGATTTGGAAAAAAAAATTACGTGCATATGCAACACAGACTTGTTCATCAACCTGCCAAGTTTCATTGACATCTGCTGCAGAGTCTCTGAGAAAATGCTAGAGATAACTTGAAAAGGAGAAAGAAAGTAAAACTAGTACTCCCCTTTCAGGCTTCGCCTGAACGGGAACTAAAAAATCAAAATCAAAGAAAGCTTAGAAAGAACTCCCGTGTGCTGAGAGTATTGAAGACACATTAAAAATTACTTGTACATGAGATATGGATGGAAAAGCTGAAAACTAATTATGTAAATCAGGTAACTAATATGAACAGTACAGAACAAAACAAAAAAATTATGAATTACTATGCTAATTATAGAATTAATATTAATCAAAATTAATCAGGCCTGTCCATTGTCCTAGAGCATTTATGTACCAAATTTTATTCAAATGTGATGATCAGTAATTGAGATATCAGTGTTAATTATGTTAATTAGGTGATTAATAAGCATAAATATTTACCAAAAACAAATTGGGTTTCTGCATAGTTCTCTTTAAAAGTTTCATTAAAATCCAATTTGTGGTTCTTTATATATCAGTGGAACATTATGCAAATTAGGTAATTAATATCCAATTAAAAACTGCATAATCCTAGAAGATCTATGTAGCAAGTCTCATTGAAATATGATTACTACTTGATATACCAAAAGCTGAAAATTAATTAATTATGCAAATTAGGTAATTAATATGTACTCATATTACCCTAAAAACTATCAGGTATGTGCAGTGTCCTATGACATCTATGTACCAAGTGTCATTGAAATGTGATGATTACTACTTGAAATATCAAAAGCTAAAAATTAACAAGTCATTGTCAATGACACGTCCCCGTTCCGTTCATATTTGAGTGACATATACATTCAAAGCAGATCATGACCGAAATGCACCTGCATATGTACAACACATTGTGCTAAATCTGACAAATCCATCCATGCATGACTGAGATCCGGTTCTGGAATTGTGAAAATACGTGATTTTGATGCATT